AGCTACCCTTTGGAAAGCTTCTTAGAGGTATTCTGGTCCAAGCCATTCATTTTACATGTCAGAAGCCTGGAGTTAAGCGATTTGCCCAGCTGGTAAGTACCAGAACTGGGATTTGAACCCAGACCTTCAGACTCCAGCTCCAGTGGTTCTTTTCATAAGATCCGGTGATTCCATGTTCATTGTTCTGAGTGAACATATCACATTAAGGGACAGGATTTTAGTTTTGATTTAGGCCCTGCTTATAATCAAATTAGGTAGCTGTTGTTTTTCAGTCATACCTGACTCTTTGTGACCCTGTTGGAGGTTTTCTTAGCAAAGAGACTAGAGAGGTTTGCCATTTTCTTCTGCAGCTCATTTTACACATGAGAAAACTGAGGCGAAGAGGGTTAAGTGACTTGCCCAAGGTCACACAGCTAGTCAGTATCTGAAGCTGGATTTGAACTCGGGTCTTTATCCACTGTGCCACCTAGACTTCTTTAAACTGAACATATTCCCCTAGATTGTCCATGTTCCCCTTTGTTCTAACAAAGATGGTACCAAGAGACAGTTATAGAGTCTTAGGTCATTATCAGTCTTGGCAATCTCTTAGGTCCTTCCCAGTTCTGGTTCCACTGAAATATGAGAGAAGCTTCTCATTTTACAGATGAGGAAACTGAGCTCAAGGAGAGAAAGGGAAAGAGATCAAAATGAGGCAGAGACACAGAGACAGAAGCAGGACTCCTAATTTTTTACACGCTGCTTCTCTTTCCCTCCTAAGTTTTCATATAGGGTTTGCCTGATGTTACCTAGTACACTATGCAAGATACACTGAGCTTAGGCCTAGAAATCTCTACCCACTCCACTCCAGTGAAGGCACCTGAAGAAATGGAAGCATCTTCAAAACCATGCCTCCGTGACAGAGACACACACCACCTGAAGAGCCATGAGAAGCCTTGGGATGCATTGGAAATAGTAAGCATTTGCCTCCCTGCAGAAAGTGATCCGACCATTTACAAACACACAGCTTCCTGCTTTATTCCAAGACACCCTCAAGTATTTGGTTTACATTGCAATCAGAAGAGGCCAAATCTGAAGATGCCAGCATTCTGGAGCTCATGGAGGGGGCAGGGACAAAGCCAGAGCTTTTCTTCCTGTCCCCTGGTAGGGTCCCGCTTTGTGGTCCTGGGCTGGGCCAGGACCTGAGCATTATGAAAGTACAAACTCAGAGACTTTCAGGAAATTAACTGGCACTGGAATGTAGATGGCCTTGCCAGATTCCCTAAAGCCTAGCAAGATTTCCTATTGGGCATCACAGCCTCCCGACAAGGCAGTGGAACTTTGGGGGCCGCTGCCAAGTTCGCACAGAAGCTTTGAAGAGGAAACGCAAACTCACGAGGCCACAAGGACTAGGGAGGGAACAGTCACTCTCAGGAATCCTGCAACTGCGATTACATCATCCCCTAGGAGGCTGCTCTGGTGAATCCAGAGCACAATCCCTCTGGCTCTCTCCCTTTTCTTTCCCTCCCTCTCTCTCCCCTTCTCTTTCTTTCTTTCTTTCTTCCTCCCTTCCTCTGTCCTTCTTTGTCTTCCTCTCTCCCTCTTTATTTCTCCTTTCCTTCCTTTCTTCTTCTTTTCTTCCTTTCTCCTTCCTTCCTTTTTCTTTCTTTCCTTCCTTCTTTCCTTTCTTTCTTCTTTCCTTCCTTTCTTTCTTTCTTTCTTTCTTTCTTTCTTTCTTTCTTTCTTTCTTTCTTCCTTTCTTTCTTTCTTCTTTCCTTCCTTTCTTCCTCTCTTTCTCCCTTTCTCCCTTTCTTTCTTTCTTTCTTTCTTTCTTTCTTTCTTTCTTTCTTTCTTCTTTCCTTCCTTTCTTCCTCTCTTTCTTCTTTCCTTCCTTTCTCCCTCTCTTTCTTTCTCCCTTCCTTCCTTCCTTCCTCTTCCTTCCTTCCTTCCTTCCTTCTTCCTTCCTTCCTTCCTTCCTTCCTTCCTTCCTTCCTTCCTTCCTTCCTTCCTTCCTTCCTTCCTTCCTTCCTTCCTTCCTTCCTTCCTTCCTTCCTTCCTTCCTTCCTCCCTCTGCATGGATCCCAGGCAAAGCATAGTAAGGCTAAGCCAATGGGATAGAAGATTGGCATGGGGTAAAGTAGGTCAGGTCTGTGTCACTGAACATGACTACTTTGCAAAGGCTAACGAGTCAGTCCCTTAGTTATGGGAATAGTGCTGGATTTGGGGCTAAAGAACCTGGGTTCAAATTCTACCTGTATGACCTTGGGTAAATCGCTTAACCCCCTGGGCCTCAGTCTCCTCATCCATGTAAGTGAAAAATCCAAATAGCTGACCTCTAAGGTCTCTTCCAGTTCTAAATCCATGTTCCTATGACATATTATCTACAGTCAGTTAGCATAGAATTCGCTAGAGATCTGGCCATCAGGGTCAGAAAGACCTGGGTTCAAGCTCTATGTCTGACACATACTGGCTATACGACCCTGGACAAGACCTGTAATGTCAGTGCCCCAGAAAATTCTCAACAACTCTATATTGCAGAGAAAGTGCCAGGAGCTTCCTAAACTGATGAAATCAAAGGTCTCCAGGGGAAAAAAAAGTATTCATTACCCACAGCTCTACTCTCTGCATTATTATTATTCTTGACCTATCAGTGGAGGGATCTCCCACTTTGGAAGCAAGCAAACAATTTTTATTATTATATGTAGCTAGGAAGTATCTAAGGTCAGATCTGAACTGAAGTCTTCCTGACTCCAGGCTCTGCACTGTACCACCTACCAGCCTATGATAGCTTTGGAAATTCTCTCTACCTATAAAGATTGGTACCTCGTGTAACTTTTGATCAAAGATTTCGAGTTGGAAGGGAATTCAGAGATCAACTATTTTGCACATGAGGCAGCTGAGGTCCAGAAGAGAGAAGTGACCAGCCCCAAGTTGCCGAGCTCATCAATGGCAGAGCTGGAGCAAGAATTGAGGTCTCTGAGCTCCCAACTTCATGTTTTTCTAGCTTATCTCTCAATTAATTTGGGTCACCAGTTTTACATTGGTCAACATTTCTGAATGTTATCTCCTTTCTTTTGGATGTTGCCATCTCCTTCCAATGGGTATAATAAAATGTGTTCCATTGGGGATATGATCAGATGATATCTGAGAAAAGCCTTTGAATTCTTTATATAAATTGCAGAAATAAATCTTCTTGTCAGGAGAGAAAGAGGAAAGGGCACAGAGGAGACTCAGATTGGAGAACAGGCTGTCCACTCCCCCAGACTGGCCTCCTCATTGCCTTCCCAACGTTCTTCCTTCTTACCTTGCCATTTTCAAGGGATGCTCTCTCTTCTCCCCATAATCACTGCCCATCCTTCAAGGTCAAAGCAGGTGCCACTCCCTGACCACAATAGTCTTTCTCTTCTCTTAATTTGCTTTCTAACCCCCTCATTTGGCACAGAACGCCCACTGTCTTGTACTGGTAGTCTTTTTCTGTGTCTAGGGCTCATCTCCTTTCTAAAATTAGAAGCTCCTCTAGGGCATTTAGAGACATCTGATGCATCTCTATAACCCCACAGCACCTGGAAGAATGCTTTCCACATTGTAGAACTCAGAAATGTTAGTTGATTTTTTGGGGTAAGACAAAACACTCAGTTTCAATACACTTTAGTCCTGATAAACCTATGTATTTTGGGACTTTTTAGTAGTTATAAAATAAAAAAGACACTTTTCCTTTCACATATTCAATTCCTTCCTTTTTCCATGGGTAGCCTTCATATGACACTGCTGCCAAAACCTTTCATACACATATATATGTATGTGTGTATATATAGTATGTATATATGTACACACATATACACATATGTATAAATTACACATGCAGACATATATATATGCGTGCATGTGTATATATAACACACACACATACATATGTCTATACGTATATCAGTTTATATCAACTTTCAGCTCACAAAATCTTCAGTGGCTCCCTGTTGCTTTCCAGGGGCAGCTAGGTGGTAGAGTGGATAGTACTGCACTCAGGAAGACTCACGGTCCTGAGTTTAAATCTAGCCTCAGACACTTCCTAGCTGTATGACCCTGGGTGATTCACTTAACCCTCTTTGCCTCAGTTTCCTCATCTGTAAAACTGAGTTGAAGAAGGAAATGGCAAACCATTAGAGTATCTCTGCCAAGAAAACCCCAAATGGGATTTTCTGAAAATGACTGAATGACAATTGCTTACTGAGTCAATCTCCATCTCCTCCACTGAGTTTCCATAATGTCGCTTCTACCCTACCCTTCCAGCTTCATCTAATATTACTTCCTTCTATAAAATCTCTGCACCCACCAATCTGGACTATTCCCTACCCCCAGAAGCCACCCTTCCCCACAAAGGCTTTGGCTCACATCATTCCCTATTCCCTTCCTTCCCTTTGCTTATTGAAGTTCCAGCCATTATTTTTTAGGCCATTTAGTCCAATTCCCTCATTTTATAGAGGAGAAAACTGAGGTTCAAAGAGATTACTCAAACACACAGGCCTAAGTAGCGGTTGTGATTTGAATCCAGCTCTTCAGACTCCAGGCAATGCCGCTAAAGCCCATCTCAAATGCTACCTCCTCCAGGAAGACTCATGGTTTGTTTGCTAACAACCATCCCGACTGGATCTCACAGTCTTTTCTTTGGTCTCTCTCTAACGTGCTTTTGTGTAATATGATATAGCAAAGCCGTCTGTGTTCTTGTCCCCACGAGTTTTGCTGGTCAATGTTTAACACCCGGCGGCAAACACACTTTTCAATTTAATCTGCATTTTCAACATTTTCTCCATCACTTTCTTAAGTCTGGAAAATCAAGCCCTGGTTTTCCTCGCGTGCGGATTTCTCAGGTGTAAAATGTTCACACTGAAAATTTAACAATCGACTTTCCAGAGCCTCTACAACTGGCTCCAGCCGCTGCTTATCCTCCCTTTTCACGGCTTGGGGATTCATATATCACGGCCGGTTCCCCCAGATACCAGCCCACCTTCACCCAGGTAGGTACTTACCTGGGATTTCTCCGCCAACTTCAGGTGCACCGCCCGTTTCCATAACCCTCTCGCAGATCCCGTCTCTGATAGCAGCAAGAAGATGCACAGAGTCCGGGGAAAGAAGATCCCCCAGCCCCGGGGTTGCCTTCCTTGTCTGTAACTTCTGGGGACCATTTTCTTTCCAGGCGATGCAAAAAGCAGAGCCCAAGTCGTGAAGGGTTCAGAGTGGAGGCAGGCGGCCCCGGACTGGGGTGGGCGGGGTGCAGCCTGGTGGCTCAGCTTGGGGCCACACGCTGGGGACTTTCTTGGCTCCTCTTGGATTGGGGTCCTTGGGTCCTGAGCTCACCCCGAGCACGTGTTTCTCCCTCAGTGATAGCCTGGGAGATTATTTTTAGTCTTCCTCCACATCTGGCACGCAAGAGAGCTACGTTCAAAGCTCCAGCGTCAGATCAGACGACAGCTGCGGGGGGAGGGGGGTGGGGGGAAAGTCTTGCTTGCAGACAGACGTGGGCAGGGCAGCCTCTAATAAGCGGCCTTCCCAGGCTTTCCAAGATAATAAGCACTTCCCATGGACATTCCGTCCCCTCCCGGGAGGTGTGCTGTTCAGTGGGTTCGAACAAGGAAGGGAAATGTCCCGAACCCATAAGCGTTCATTTCCACAAAATATAAAAACACATGTATTAACTTAGCTGTTGCTAATAAAATCAAGTTGGTTTTTTACAATTGGAAAACTCCTTTAAATGAAGGAAAAGCAATAAAAGAGAAAGAAACCACCCTTATTCGTGATGATATTAACTCATATTTCTATAGCACTGTCTACAAAACACTTTTTATACGAGCTTCACTCGCAATCTATATGATAATTATTCATTTGCTCACATTATCTCTCCTCCCATTTCCATCTGTTGAAGTCCCTTCCTGTCTCTAAAATCGAAGTCACATGTAATCTCCTCCATGGAACATCCGTTCCCTCTCCCCGTTCTTGATCAGTCGTGTCCAGCTCTTCCTGATCCCATTTTGGAGTTTTCTTAGCAGAGATACTGGAGTGGTTTTACCATTTCTTTCTCCAGCTAACTTTTACAGATGAGGAAACTGAGGCAGAGAGGGTTAAGTGACTTGTCCATGGTCACACAGCTAGGGAAGCATCTGAGGCCAGATTCCACCTCACAAAGATGAGTCTTCCTGACTCCAGGGCTAGTGCTCTATCCACTGCACCTCCTAGTTGCTCCCTCACTCCCCCTAGAGAGCTGTAACTGGGAATTTTTGCACCTAGGGCAAATATTGAAAAGAGAGTTCAGGGCAAGCAGCTTAACAGTTGTTGGTGGCAGTATACAGTGATCCCAGGAAACCAGGAAACCTCTGATGAGTGAGGACCCCAGGAATTGGCTTCTTATTTAAATTAATAATTCTGGACAACTGAATTAGTTCTCTTCTATAGTAGACCACCTACTTGTTAGAGTAAAGGTCAGACCTACAAGGAAGAATAAAAATGAGAAAAATATATGATGTGCAATTAAAACAACTCTATCCTGAACTCTTTAAACAAGTTATTGATTTTTTTTAAAATGGGATATGGACAGAAGAAAGGATATTGACTTAGATTACAGAAGTTTAGCTGGCATCCCTACAAAAACAAATTTAACAGATAAAGATCAATTGCCATAATTAAATTGTCAAAAGAATTTTTAAAAGCACACGAGAAATATTTAACTTATTCATCAAGCAGCAGAAAGATATGGCAGCCAAAGATGACACTAGTTTAAAATATAAATTCATAAAATCTTATGGAGAGAGATGATTAATCACTCAATAAACATTTATTAAGCACCTACCATATGCCAGGCATTGTGCTAAGTGCTAGGGATGAAAAAAAAAAAGACAAAAGATGGTCCCTGCCCTCGAAGAATTCACAATCTAATGGGTAGATCCATATTCAGAATGACAGAAAATTGTAAGCTGCATCATCTCATAAAGTAAAAAGAAGCAATGGAGGGTGAAACCACTTTAAAGAGAGTTTAGTGAGGGACCTAACTAAGCAGGCATCCCAAAGGTATTTAAGGATGAAAATGGAAGCACGCCCAACAAACAGAAGAAAAATGGAAACTATCACAAAGATTTTTAATGCAAACTCTTCTCACCATCAAGTATAACACAGCCACCACACTTGAACTCCAGCATCACAATCCCAGACACGCTGATTGAAGAAGCAGAAATGGCGCTAAAGAGAACAAAGATCAGAAATCCAACTGGATTAGACCAATTTACATCAAGGAGTTCCATGCTGAAACTGGTGACATAGTTTTAAGGGCATTGAGGAATCTATTCATAAAGTAGATGAAGGAATAGAAAATGCCAAAGGTTTGGAGAATCTCTCATACTATATTCATATAGTCTGTATGCTATGTAACTTGTTTAGAATCAGATTTATAGGTCTGTTACATGGTATATAACAATACCCCAAAAAGACAGCCAAGAAAATTTATCAACAACTACCAACCTATATGCTTATTTTTTATCTTTTTAAAAAATTTATGAGAATAATCTGCACATGCATGAAGGCATCCTCAATGAGAGGATTAAGAAGTAACAGGAAAATGTTTGCCATCAGTATTACACAGTAAGGCAGCACATATTTATCATCACACAATTGGATGAAAGATGTAGAGAATTCAATCTCCCACTGATCCCACTGTACTTACCATTTGTTGATTATTTTAAAAAATCATTCGATTTGATAGAGCCAGATGCCCCCTTCATGTTCCTCCTCTAACAAGGTGTCTCCCACCCATACAGAATTATTCAAGATTCAGTGAAAAATGTAACAGAGATCACTGTTTGATGACCCTCCAGTTATTAATATCAGTCAAGGCATAAAATCAGGGAGACATGCTCAACAAAATTATTCCCCACTATCATGGAGGAAATCCAACACAGAATCCAGCTTGAAGAGGTATTGCATATAAATGGTTCAGTCCTCAAGATGATCCTATTTGCAAATATCATTATGCTGATTCCTTCAAATCCTAGAATTGCAGAGCCTTCTGGAAGAGCTCTGAAAAGAGTTTGACCTAATGATCCATAAAGGATTCATAAAGGAAAAAACAAATGGATGAAGAATGATTGTTGTCTGGATTATGACATGCAAATCCATTAGCTGAGTCTGTATAAAGCTTGTCTATCAATACACATACACACAATATCACATGGTAAGCACTTTAGAGAGCTGCTAAATGAAGAGCTTTGGGATATTGTATATCATAGCTAAGTGGTTTTTTTTGTTTTATCCCCTCTACTAGATAGTAAGCTCCTTGAGGGCACGTACTGTATCTTATATAAAGTTCCTATCTTTTCTAGCTCCTAGCAAGGTGCTCTGTGCACAACAGATGTTTAATAAATGTTCATTGAATTTTCTGCATTCCATAGGGTCATGGTAGAAAGAACACTGGAGTTGAAATCAAAAGAAACCTGAGTTTGTATCTCATTTCTCACACTCATTAGCTATATAATCGTGGACAAATCGTTTATTCCTTATCTATTGAATGGAGGTAATAATTATGATATTTCTTTCAGATTATTATGTTGATTAAATAACTTATACAAAGTGCCTTATAGACTTTAAAGCCTACATAAATGTCAATTACTTTGAGGATTATATGTATTTATCTTCCCTAATAAAGTATAAGGAAAAGATCCCATTTTTAACTCTTTTTGGGATCTTTGCATTGCCCAGTACAAAATCTTACAACATGGTAGGCACTCAATATTTGTTTAATTCAATCACAGCTATTTATCAGGAGAGACACATTGCAACATGGTAGCCACTCTAAATGTTTGTTTAGTTTAATCACAGAGAGACACATTGCTCTAGTTGGGAAATGGTGGGACCTGGGGACAGGGAGGAAAGGGCAGGGTTAACCCATGGTCAATAATGCCAAGTGACATTGACTCTGACCAGATCAGGGTCAGAAACACAGAGATCAAGATCTGGGTGAAGACGTTGTGGCCAACAGGAAGTGGCAAGGAAACAAGGGATTAGAATCAAGTTACTAAACCTGGGAAATCTGGAATGCAGGAGGAGTCAGGTTGCTTAACTGAGCTTGGAAGCAGAGAGAGAAGTGTCTTTTCAGAGTGAGAATAGGAAGAGATAAGCACAACGTAGGCAAAAAATGCAAGACACTGACACTCCTTTAGCCTAGGATATTCACAGGATTGGGGGCTGGAAGGTTTGGAACATAAAATGTCAAAGTTAAAGGAACCTTAGAAATCATCTAGTCCATGGGTTCCTAACCTGTTGGTACATGGACCCCCAAGGGGCAGGAATAGATTTCGGGGAGTTCATGAGAAAAAAAAAAAGCATCACTCTTGTATTTTCACTAACTTCTAACTGAAATTTAGAATTTCCTTCAATTTAATTCTCAACATCCTGAGAAAGGATCCATATGCTTTGCCAGTTTTCCAAAGGGGTCCATGAAATGAGAAAGTTTAAGAACCCTGATCTAATCCCATCATGCCATTTTGCAGATAAAGAAACAACCCCAGAGATGAAGAAGATCTGTGTCCAGTCCTATCTTTAACATCTGTTCGTTATGTGACCATAAACAAGTCACTCTACCTCTCAAGGCCTCTATTTTCTCACCTATAAAATGGAGGGGCAGGTCTAATCATACTTTCTACCCACCTCACACATTGCTTTGTAAACCAGAAAACATTTTATGAATGTATACACCTATATCTCTCCATATAGATATGGATATAGTCATATAGATACAGGTGTGTAGGTAGAAAGGTTGATACAGATAATTGATAGATAATTACATATACAGACAAACAGAAGATAGAGTATATAGACAGACATTACAGACAGAGAGGTGGATAGATGGATAGACAGACAGACAGACAGATAGACAGACGGATAGTGTTATTCTGGAAAATTGCTCCTAGCTGAGTATCAAGAGGATAAACCCAGGGACTATCTCTTCCAGCTTTATAATTTCCATTTTGGTACATAGAACCTTTGAAGATTTGGCTAAAGCATCAAAGGAAGACTTTGGTGGAGATTGGCACTAAGACTGATAATGCTCCCTTCTCCACTAACATCCTCATCTGAAGCCTAATAATGGCATGGAGGTGATTGTGGGTTCTTGAAGTCTGTTCAGTGGAATGTAAGCTCGGGCAAGCCCTGCCACAGATCACGGGCCTGCCATTTGAGGATGAGCTAAATGTGGAAACACTTATCACTGGGTTGGCCACAGGTGATGAATATTTTGATCCTAGTAACTTGCTGGAAAATGGTCTACTAGGGCATAGGGCAGGGGAGAAATGGGGGTAATGCCATCTACCTTGGGAGTGGTACCAAAGAAATCATTGTTTCCTGTAGTATTAAAGTCCTTTCTCTTCAAGATGAAAGAGAGAAGATAGAGGGGAGGAGTGCAGTAGGTAACTAGCATCTCTAGCTCAGCATAAACCTAC